TATGTTTAGAATAATAAGGGGATTTTTACAATATAAATACAAAATAATTACAAGTTCATGTACAGTAGACATTGTAGTTAAAGGATTAAAAACACGTAATTTAAAGACTGATATCATAAAGCCAATAATCAACAAAATTCCATTCAGAATTAGTGTTTTCCAGTATAAATGATACCAGATTTATTTTTTTTACTCATTATTGTCTCTTCCAGAAAGATTCTGAAAAGATTCTTACTTTTCCGTCTACACATTAACTTCTTAGACATAGGCGTTTCTGTCATAGTTGCTTGTTCGCACGTGTCCTCTGGAGGAGGGTTGGAGTGGATACGGTCTAAAATACAAAAGGCACGTTTAATTTTATTATATTAATTATACACCTGTTATATGTATAATATCTGGCGAATTAAACTTTTCAGCAACAGTTACTCACATTTTTTCACTGTCAGTCATAATTCCGCAGGAACACAGCAGGCACGAGCCTCCACAAATGGCAAGCGTGGCTGAAGCCCAGCCAATATAAAGCGCCTCTCCAAGCTCATACCTGCAAGACAATAAGATTTATTTATATGACATTTTGATTGTAATATTTATTTAATAATAACAATTTTTAATCTATGTTATGTGCTTTCAGCTGATGCAGATTATATTGACTTACTTTGTCCCTTGGTAGAGAATGTCAAAGAACTGCTGAGTGATGTTTGCTGCGTACCAAGACACGGCAATCATGGTGCAAAGCCCTACAAAATGGAAAAACAAGTCAAGTTTAAAAACATTAGGCCAGTTGTGCAACAAAGATGCCATCTAAATATTGCATACGACTTTTTAAAGGACTATTCCTTTTTAAAAACTTTACAAGTTGTAGTTCAGTAAATTACATTAATTATGTAAATTAAAAATATGTTGTTAAATGAAAAAGGTATATATGAAATATAGCTTTTTCAAATACAGGGGAAAATACTTTTTGGTCAATGAGATGATCTATAACTGGGTTCACACACTGTTTTTTAAATAGGGTAACCAATAGTGCTGTTGAAATGCATAAGCTCTTATTAATGACAGTCCTATATCAGCAGGTTTGTTAGCGTAAGGATAACCTTTTGAACTAGTAAACCATTATATAATGGTGATATGATAGCTTGTCTTTTGAAAAGTAGAAATCAAAGAACCAGGCATGCTTATATTTAACCAGGTGTTCTGTGCAAAGATTCAGTTGGGAGTGTGAACTGTCTAGGTTGCATTTCTCAAGTTGTAAGTCCGGTTCAAAAAATCAGGCAAAATTTCACATGCAAACCCTAAAATGCTTGTTTTAAATGAAAGTTTTTTTTTTCATTCCTTTTTTTCATAGATCTTGCATCCACCCCCAAGTCTTTACCTTGCAGTAAAAAAAACACTCCTCCAACTGCAGCAATCTTCCCCTTTAGAACATAGTTTTCTCCACCTATTTTCGAGCACTTCATTCCTACAAGCGTAGCCACCAGGCCAAACGACCCAAACACAATTGAAGCAATCATCAGTGCTCGGGAGGCCTGAATGTAGCCTGTGTGCAAATAAAAGACAGAATAACATATTGATTTATAAGTTTGTGTACCGTATGGTTATATATAAATAAGTAACAAAGATTTAAGCAGTAAGTTGGTAAGAACTTTAGAAAAAGCTTTTTTTGTTTGTTTCTATTAAGCTTCATATAAAAAATTCTTGCCCTCAGATTTTCATTTGTTTCACATTTCAGTGAGAGGCTCCACCTTGAATCTCGCAGGACAGACACAATGATATGAGTTGATTAAGTTCAGGCAGACCACAAATATTTTCAAATTATTCCACATTTCACAACTGATAAAACAGTCAGCAAATTGTAAAAGTATCTGTTGTTTCAGAGAACAGGAAATGTTTATCCTTTCAGGTCTAGGCAGATCTTGTGACCGGGCTGTACAGCCCATCTTGGTTCTTTTTTTAGTACCAGTCAACCAGAATACAGTATAGAAATGTGTGCCTCAGGATTGTAGGCAAGACTGATAACTGTTTGAGTACTACAAAACTCTTTTTCTTTGGATCACTTTGATATGGTGAATATTTATACAGTGGGGCAAAAAAGTATTTAGTCAGCCACCGATTGTGCAAGTTCCCCCACTTAAAATGATGACAGAGGTCAGTAATTTGCACCAGAG